TTCTAGAAAAAACACTTTTTTTCCCTTCCGTGTTCCCATGAAAAACGTTTATACTGTAAGTGCGGAACTGGTCCAGTCCAAACTTTGCATAGCTTCTTGGTTATTAACAATTTTTTACTCAAATTAAAAGTAGCACAATCTGCAACTACCCGTTGTGTGATGCCTGATGATTAATGACCCTCACTGAGTCATTGACATATAATGGTTGTCGCCAGACAAGTTATTTACAGTTTCCAGGTAGTACAATACACTGCAGTATACTAAACCTTTTGTTCAATTATACGTACTTTAACATGGCTATTCCGTTCACATCATTAACACTAAAATCTTCTCGAACTACCAGCTATTCAAAAAAGAATTACTTGACTCTTTTCATATTTTGCCGGCGTTCTATTGTATCTGTAATTTTCAGTGGCGAACAGTACAAAATAAGATCTTCAGTGGGAAAACCGAAGCTAACTTTGCACCACTTTTTCTTCTACCAACAGGGGTAAACTAGTCCAGTGAACCAGTGCAGCAAGTAATTTTTACGCTGCTGATTTACCATTTTTCAACTGTGTTCTGCAACAAGGACGGACGCGAATAGGCCCGGCAATACCCAAGAATGGAAAACCAAACTGTGCAGCTCCTATTTCGTATAGCGAGCCCAAAACAGCACTGAAACTCAGTTCAGGTTTTTACTCCAATCAACCTCTCACAATGCAAGTGACTGTTTTACCCCCTGAACACAGTTAAAGACCTTTTCCGTACATTGCTGAAAAAACTGAAAACTCAAAGACGACAAAGTTCTGTGATACAATATTTCTTACAGTGTTATTTTACTAATTAATTAATCTTGTTTTTCACAAGTTGATACAATTGAAAATAAAATCTCCTGTGGTCTGAATTATCTAAAAAGTAGAGCACACAGTCTTCATTTTTGGTGGTCATTTGAAGCACATTTCGAAGTATTTAGTAAAATAAGCATTTGCGGTTGTGCGAATGAATTCTGGATAAGGCGTTGATTTCTTTGTTCTTTTACCTTGCATTCGGATAGAAACGAAAATTTCAATCCGAAAATCACACATCTCAGTCCATTCAATTATTCCATTTTTAACTAGCCCGCGATAAAGCCCCAATTCTGCTCAAAAACAAAAATCTTGTGAGATATGCAACTAGACACAGTCATGTTTAAGATACTTTTCTTAGTGCATCTGTATATACTTTCCATTCAAAATCAGATTTGTCTTCCTCTCTTCAGTGAGCAACGAGATACGACCTAAAACTGTTTTTTTACTTAATTAAATGATGAACTACAAACCACTCTCTCCTCATACAATAACAGCATTGATAACAGACAACATTTGAAGTTTTAATTATCTCAGTGTAAATTATTGTTTTAGTCATTACAAATATTATGACTTAAAGTTTTAATCGAAAATAACAGGCGCACAGTCGTTTGAAAATAAAACGATTATCCTCTACAGTTTCCTGACACGGTTAGGACTTATATCAATTCCAAAATTATTTACATGGTAAATTTTCCACGCGCATTTTTTAATCGTTTGCAAAACACAGAAAGGAAAACATATGGTAAACGTACTATGGCTATACATAAGTGCCCTACTGAGCGAAGAAAAACTACAGAATATGATTAGGATTTCGCAACCAATGTAAAGCTTCCAAGTTAATAGAAAAGCTTTATCAACAAGACTGTGGATTCAATCAAACAAAATTGAAGTATCGCTATTAGATTTTGGCCGGTAATTAAATGGACTAACAGCTTTCCTTGCAGTTTTCGTGTCTTTGCTGACGTGAATTGTTCGTGATCGCGCAGGGATGCCATTGTAACGAAAAACTTAGTTTTTTTAATTTCTTTACTCAGACGCGATCAAAACACACGACTTTTCTGAGTTAGAACAGGGAAAGCTGTAAAATCCTAGACCTTACCTTTGTTGTTTTGTGTCTTAATCAGTATTAATATTTTAAGCTTCTTCAGTGCTTTGGTGAATCTTTCTTTACTACATGGCCTTATTTTCAGCCGTAACCGACCTTCTTTTAAGATTCATTTAGGACCTGGAAAGAAAGAAATTTACCCCTCAACTATGCATTAAAATTAAACAAGAAACTCTCAAGAAACTTAAACTGAGATAGTTAAGAAAAATTTGCATGATGAGAACGTCTATAAACTTACATTGTAATGTACAATTTCCTTGTAGGAATTTCCTGGTATACTAGTGTTTCTTCCCTTTTTCTGCGTGAAATATATTTAGTCTCGCACTTCACCGCGTTCTTGCGATTTGGTATTCTAATGGCTGTCAACCCAACACTAATGGAATTAAAAATTCTCTGAAAGAGATCAACTTTCCAGGTTAGAGCCGTTTTGGTTGTCGATCCTTCAGAGAATAGATGAAAAGAAATCAAAACAGTGTATAGTTGTTAAACATTTATGGGCCTTATTGACTACTAGGACGACGCAGCAAGAGAATGAAAAATCTGGTGATAAGCCTTTCTTTAAACAGCCAATAGCTTTCTATGATTCTTTATTTAGTTTCACCCCCCATAGACGGTTAAACTGCTCTAATTTATTGCTAAGCAAAGGCAAAAACTCTCACCCAACGACGACGAGTTGAAGGTCACGATTAATAAAGTGGTTTCACGGTTTACAAAACTCATGTAAGTCAGCTGCTTTTTTCGGCTAATTTTACACCACAAAAATCCGACACTTTGTAACCGGATATAGCAGAAGAAAAAACAATAAATAATATTTCGTCTAGATTTTATGATTGTTAATGATAAGTTATAATAATTTTGGAGAGCAGATGCCAAGGTCGTCTGAACTATAGAACAGAATCAGATGCAACATCCCCTTCTAAATAAACTTTACGTTATGGTCAAAGGCTTTTATGTTTACGTGCCGTGATCTTGTTCTCAGTGTCAAGATGAAGCTTAATTCTCCAAAGTACATGACTTTTTACTCTATTTTAAATTGAGTGAAATGTATTTTCGACGGCTGAGGTCAAAATATCCAGTTAGCAACATTCGCCGTAATTTTTCATCGTTTATAATCCTTTTCGTACTTCGCAACCGGCAAATACACAGCACCAATAACTGTTTCAACTAAAGATAAGTTTTAAAGTCATATACATATATGATTTTTAAGTTGAAATTAGATTTATTCACATCAGCTTCCGTTCTGTTTACGTCAAAGGTCCTACCGTGACATTTTCACGGACTTCAGTCCCGCCATTCTCTTGGTTGTTATCAGCCTAGTCCCTAGGCATTCTCTCTTGCCTCGTTGTCCGCGCGAAGTCTGGGAAAGAGCGGGCGAGAGAACGCCTTAGAACGCCTAGCCAAAAGCCAATACTGGCAAACACCCCTGATTTGAGAGCAATTTTACCACTGGTCACATTTTACGAGTTTCTACAGCTCCATTTTCGAAAAACTGCCCGCCGATAGTATGGATGTGTCGGTTGAAGTGTTTGCAAACAGCGGTAAGTTCTAACTTTGTAGCATATTATTTTTTCTGGTTAATATTTTGTTCTCGGCGTATATCTCTCGATGACGTCACAGCTCACGGTAGAGTCCAGGATTGACCAAGCCGAGAACGCCTAGGGACTAGGCTGGGTTGATATAAATCACAGTTCCCAACGTCTGAATGAGTATTCCAAACAATCCTCCTTTCGGAAAGGATTCTAGATTGTATATTTCTGGTCTGTGTCTTTCATCGTTATAACTGTAACCTTGGACCAGGCTCTGTAGTGGGGAAAATGACAAAAAATAGGGTAAAACAGCAACAAAAATCGGAGCGGTGGAATAGGAAGGGGGAAAGGCGCTTGACGTTTTTTCACATTTTCTCCGCCTTTTTTTCGCTTTATATTTCCCCCAGTGCGGAGCCTGGTCCGAGGCTATATAATAGCCGAGGATTGGTCGTCGTGCAAGATAAGCATTTTTCGTAAGTATTTTATGATAATAGATATTTTCTTGAGCTTACGTAAAAAAGTACAGTATGACGACCAAAGAGATCCGTAGACAGAAAACATGAGGAAGTCGATACTGAAAAAAAAGAGTTCCTTCAAGTTGTTGAGGTCCACCTTATTACAGCGGCCAAACTCAAACAAATCATTTGAAAGGCAAACTTTCATTTCTGCAAACTTCTTGCCATCTTATTAAACTGTGACAAATGTTTCATTCAGCTTTTTCATGTCATACACCGCACATGTTCCACGTCTCCACTGTGACCTTCAGGCAACGATAAACAACGAGAATAACTAACTTTCGTTGTCTTTTTGTCACCATTTTCAGATGAGTACCTGTTGAGGCTTTTTTTGTTTTGAGCCTATTTATAACAATGTATCCCCTAAAATGTAGAGTACCTTAAAATGGTAAACACATCATTTCTCAATATCGAAACTGGCTCCATATATTTTCCAAGTGAGTAAAAGGAATTGTGCTGAAAAATACTCACATATTTCCCAGTTCGTGTTGTTTGCTTACGTGAAAAGTTCCTCCTTCATACACATTACATTACCCTTGGAAAAATTTTGCCGGCAGAAGCTTTAAGCAGAGTTTTGAGGCGAACATTTTGCTAGCAGAATATGGCAGACCGCACAAACGGGAAACGTTACAAAAAGGCGGGAAAAATGGTCATGTGACGTCGCCAATCATCTCTTGACGCAAAACAAGGGAATCAAAGAAATCAAGACAAAAGGTGTTGAAACAAAGAAAAGGTTCACAGGTTCTTACACCGAGGTAAACCCAACAGAAGTGGGTATATGTGCGGCAACAAAACCTTAAAAAAAGTTTAAAAGTTATGTATGGCAATTGTAAAACGAATTATAATTGGCTATTCTTTCTCCACCAATCAAAAGAGCAGTAATATTGTGCAAATTTTGAAATTGTCCATGTCGCATGCGCATAACAGACCACTCATAAGTTGCCGTGTCAGTAAACGAACCGGGAAACATGGGTTATTTCTAGGTCTTTGATCCACATTATTTTACGGCTTCTTTTGTTTAAACATGTTGCATTCTTCACAGATGTGGCTTGTTTGCCTTTTACTGGTACGTAGTATTTTTCAAGTGTTTTTTCGTCGTTGTTTTGGTGAATCGCTTCATCGATTGCCCCTACGACATATGGTTACTAATAATGCACAGCCACGTTGAAGTGTATTCATATAAATGCCTCAAGGTTTCTAAAGAAACTAAGTTGATATGTACCTTTGCAGGCTATTTTTACCTTTCCCTTCTCTCTCTGTGGCCATGTGGTGCAGCTGACAACCCAAAACTTCGATCAGATCTTAGGTAAGACTAAAGAGTATTAAAACACACTTAGATGTCTTTCCAGCAGCTGTACATTTAAAGCGTTTTCAATGACCAACTCTGTTGTTTTGGAGCTACAAGTCATTTTTTCTCGAATTAGAGTTAGGATCCAAACGTTAATTGCATGTTTCTTTTATTTCAGCTGAAAATAAAGTAGTACTCGTCAATTTTTATGCTGACTGGTAAGACTCACAAGAAGCGTTGATTTGCTAAGGCGCTTCAGCTTGAGCTTATATGTTTTTCTTATTCAGTAAGCCAGAGGAAGCCCTTGTTATTTGTTTAATCTTTAGAATTAAATTGCTTTTTCTATGATATCTTACAGAGTAGGATTTGTTTTCAACAAACTGTATTTCATACTATTATTATTATTTTGCATACTGAAAGCTTATAGCAGATCTTTAGCTCATATAATATTTTAAAGAGTTGGGCAACTTTATTTGATCAGCTGACTTGTCTGAATATCAAAAGAACGTCTATTCCACTGTATCAGAACACAGATAATCACAGGGAGAGACTGAAAAGATTTATGGAAAAAAATGCATGTGCCTTTGCTTAGGACCATATCAATTATATAGTCATATTGATGCTGTAGTTAAAAGATGGATTTAGACTAAATAGGCTTTTTAACCATCATTAAAGATGCCAGGAATTACCTTATTTAGCTCATTAGTTTGTCACCTTATTCCCTTATTGGTTTTTCTATAACAAGCAAAAAAGAAAACTGAATTAGCATGTGTTCTTTCAGGTGTCGATTTAGTCAAATGCTGGCTCCTGTGTTTGAACAAGCATCAGACATTGTCAAGGAAGAATATCCAGTAAGGCTGTAGTGGTTAGAACCCTAGCTACATTTACAGTCCTGGGCCCGGTTCCTTGAAAAATGATCAAGTTTAAGCCAAATTTTAAGTGAGGTTTTCGTGTCTAAGAACATGCAGCTTAAGCTTACAAAATTCTGCTGAGCCTTTACTCCGAGAAACAGTAATGATAACACCATACGTATGTTACTCTAAACAATACGCAGGAAGGCAAAGTACAAAAACGGAATGAAATTTTAATCCTGGATTAGTGCTAATCAGCCTTTCAGGAACCAGGCCCTGGTCCCAATTAAAAAGTGGAGAGCATTATTTACTGAATAAATTACTATTTGGAAATAATGTGATTGGTTATGTCAATATTTATTCATTTCATAGGGTTATGTTTTGGGGGATGGTCTTTTCTTCCCCTTCATTTACCAGATCTTGTCAAAAAACAAACACGTGACAATTTATAGCCTGAGAAAACAGCCAGCTCTTAAAAGGCTGAGCCAAGCAAGCCTTGCAAAGTGAGCCAGCCTGGCTAAGCAGGCTGGCTTAACTCCTATAAACAGGCTGCCTCAAGTCTGGTTCTCTGGTAGAAATGAGCAATTACAGACCGATATCAAGTGTGCCCTGTCTATAGAGGCAATCCATGGGCCTCTGCTATTTCTGAAAAATACACTTCAGTGGTGTAAATCCCTTTGTTACTGTGATATTATCACTTTTACAGATCCCTGAGTGGTCAGCTGAGTGGCCCCATTATAACCAGGAATAGTACACAACTTGAAAACCCTTGAATTTTTAGAGTCTCCTTTTTCAAGTCCTTGAAATTCTCTCTCATTCATTTGTTCCTTGAAAGTCCTTGAATTTTAATTGAGGAACATTTTCAAACCATTAAAAAACTTTGGCAAAATATATACCAGTTTGAAGTGAACAGAATACAGTTGGCATTGAGGACGATACTGATTGCACATGATTAAATCATTCATGTCTTTGCTGACTCTTTTGCCATGCTTTCCGGTCAATGATCATTACAGAAGTTAATTCTTTGATTAATTACTTTTAAACGAATTTGAAATGTCCTTTAATTTTATATTGGAAGAAGTTTAGGAACCCTGTGTATCTCAGACCTTCAAAATCTCATGGTTTGAGTTATGAACTCACGGTCTCATGATTCAGGGTTAAGTGAAACATAGTGCACTTAAGTCTGTGAAAGGGTTAATCTTTGACTCAAAGTGGCTACTCATTGAATACTTTTGAATAGTTTAGAAAGCACTTATAATATACATGTAGAGAATACCACAAGACGAATAATATGCCATTTTTATTTCATTTGACATGTTGTCTTTACTTTGCAGACTGGTGTTGTGATGGGTAGAGTAGACTGTGAGGCGGAGCAAGAAATTGCACAGCGATTTCACATCACCAAATACCCAACACTTAAACTGTGGAGAAATGCTCAGGTAGATTAGTTTGAATTAATTCCATTGCTCTGGAAATAGGTGGACTGCAGTTTTTCGCACAGAGCAGGGCTCCAAATTAAAAAAATCCTCAGGTCGTCTTTTGGTGACCAACTGGAGAAATATAGTTACCAGATGCAGATTTTTATTCGCCAGTTTGTATAAAGTATATGTCATGCAGCTCATAATATGGCATGATCCATCAGATTTGATTGTTTGAAAATATTTTGGGGAGAAGTCGGTATAAATTTGGAGGTAAACTGGCTTTGTTTATGTGATTTGGCACAGCAAGATAAGATGAAATGTTTGTTTTAACTTTACTCTTTTAATTTCAATCTAAATCATAGAGAAATCTGGTCACCAAAGTGGCGACTAAACCAGAATTTTAGTCGCCAAGGAGAAAATGTTAGTCACATTGGTGAGGGTATCAGTCGCAATTTCAAGCCCTGCAGAGAATATATGCCTTCTGTGCAGTATTTTGACTTGAAAATTCAACCTGACATGTACAGTTTCCAGCATGATGCCTTGAATCTTACATGTGCTATGTATGTTTTTGTTATTTCAGGTGACAAGAAAAGAGTACAGGGGTCAGCGGTCTATTGATGCTTTTTCAAACTATATCAGAAATCAAATGCAAAGCAGAATCCAGGAATTTCATGCTCTAAGTGATTTAAATGTTGATGTGAGTTCTCCAAGGTGTTGATTTTCTTAGTAATGCACTTTATTTGAGGTGGACAGAATTACACCTTTTTTATACCAAGATAAGAAGCTTATTATCACCTTCTAATTGTCATTGCTTTTGCTTTGTTTTTGATTAGTCTTCAAAACGAACTGTTATTGCATACCTGGAAAGTAAAGACAGTGACAGTTACAGGAACTTTGAAAAGGTATTATTTCACTAACAATTATATGATATTTCCCAAAATAACTTTATTTCAGGCTGACCTCCTTTAATGTTCTCTTTTTGGTTTAAGATTGCTGAGGAGTTCAGGGAAGACTGTAATTTTCATGTAGGAGTTGGGTAAATTTTGTTTTATTTTATATCAACTTTCAATATCTCTTTCTTGACATCTACAAAAGTCAAGTAACATCCTTCACACTGTATATCTGCAGAAAGAGGTGAAAGTAAAATTAAAACAAAAATAAATCTGGATTGTAGCTACTTCACTGTGTGGTACCTGTTATGGAGACATGCTCACAGAGCCTAACTTTTGAACTGGGTAATGAAAGCCTATCTGTAGTGAATAAAAAATACAAGGACCACACCAATAATGGTTGGGATTATTTGTGATTAAATATTGTGAATTAGTTTTAAAAGTTAAGAGATTTTTAAAGGAGCATTTTTTTCTTATGCAGGGATGCCTCAGTTAAAGAAAGACAAACAGGAGAAAATATTGTTTTCAGGCCACAGAATGTAAGTGGGAAACATGTGTGTGAAACATCATGTTCATTTTACTTTGGCTAGATATAAGTACTAGAGACTAAGCCCTATCAAAGTATGTATTTGACTATGATTTCTGGTCTGTTTGTAGAGAGGTTCAGAGGCAGAGATGATATACATGGGTGATCTCACAAATTTTAACCTTCTCAAAATTTGGGTGTCAGATAAGTGTATCCCACTTGTCAGAGAAATCACCTTTGAAAATGCAGAGGAGCTGACAGAGGAAGGTGTTCCTTTTCTCCTTCTCTTCCATCATCCTGATGATCAAGCCAGCGTTGAGCTTTTCAAATCAGAAATTAGCAAACAGCTTATAATGGAGAGGGGTAAGTAATGCCGGCACAGATAACAGTACCACGGGACACATAAAGTGAGACTTTCACCCCTCCCCTCCCCCTAGAGATGATCAACATTTCTAGTTACCATTCATACATGCATTCATTTATGTATATTCAGGTGTGAAATAGGTAGTGGCTTATTACATGCGTAAGGTTACACTTATTTTGCAAATGTCTGAAATAGACATTTGGCTTTTAAATTTTATTTAATTGTTTACACAGGCTGTGAAAGTGCATTTCTTTACAATAAAATTATTAGGTCTACATCATGCGTGATGTGAACCATTTAATTTTTTTCCAGGAAATGTCAACTTTTTAATTGCTGATGGACTGAAGTTTTCTCACCCTTTGCATCATTTGGGTAAAGGACCAGAGGTAACTACAGTAGCATCATCATAAAACAGCATTATTAGAAATAAATTGTGCCAGTCAATTTGACATTATTCCCAAACAATGCACATCTTGTAATGGAGGGTCAAAACTGGGTGGCATAACCACGGTAGGATTAGCTCATTCGGTAGAGTCCTTGACTGCAGAGGAGGTCGTGAATTCGATTCCCGGGACTGGACCAATACTCAGGCTCTTAAAATAACGGAGAAATGAAGGTACTTGCAAGCAGGTAGACCTTCACGTGGCTTGGATGACCACATAAAATGGGGTTCCTGTCTCTAGTCACAGACTTAAACAGTTTTATAGTGTGCCTCTTCCTGGTCAAAATTGAATTCAGGTTAAAATTTTTTAACCTAGGTTGATTCTCAATTTCCTGTCTCCTAGCTCTGGTTCATGAATAATTAGGGCTAGACGACAAAGGAGATTGAGAATCAACCTACTTGTAGGTTAAAAAAATTTAACCTGAATTTAATTTTGACTTGTAACATCCCCAATTAGTACTTTCATGCTAAATACATTGACACTCAAATAAAGTGCATAATTTAAAAAAAAATTACCAGTGTTTTATTGCATATGATTTTGTATGTAAGCGTATAAATGTGGTTCTTTTTTTCAGGATCTTCCTCTCATTGCTATTGACAGCTTTAAACACATGTACCTCTTCCCAAAGTTTGATGATATCAGGTAAGTAATTTATGACCGTAGAGATTTGCCATGCCTGGTTTCAACTGGTCACTGTATGTTACAGAACTTCTGAAAGGATAGTATGTCAGCACCCTTCATCTTTCCTCCTTCCCTTTGGTGTAACATATACTACTCATCTTGTTATGAGAGTGAAAATGGAGTTGTGGTTATAGTGGTCATAAGACTATTAAATGTCCCGCTTGTTCATCAAAAGTAGTTATTATTGTCATTAAATTTCTGTCTATATAATGTTGTTTTAAGTTATCATTTTTAAGTTTGTAAGATGAGTTTTTATTAGAACACCACAACCCCAACCCTAACCGTTATTCCTATTCCTTTTTTACTTTAAGATAAAATTTTACTATCTTATTACCCCTTTCAACAGAACCCCTGGAAAGCTGCCAAAGTTTGTGGCTGATTTGCATTCAGGAAAGCTTCACAGAGAGTTCCATCATGGCCCAGATCCAGAAGAGCAAACTGTAAGAGCAGTTTATTTTGTTTCATCCCAATTTTCCTGCACACTGTGAGCGGTATTTTTTAAATCAAAAATCTGTATGGCACAAAATGCAAGTGTGATATGTGAGTTGTGAAGCTATGAGCTGCACATTGTGCTGGTATCACTAGAAGTGCAGGCTCTTGTAATTTTAACTTTTAACTGTGAAAAAAGCTTCTTGAAGAGATTCTTAACAATTGGCATTATAAATCTTAGGCTTTAGGCATTTTAAAATTAAAATAATTATTCATCAGCCTGTATAATAGAAATTAGGTTACGAATGTCATTTAAATTTGATTTTAAGATCGTCATGTAATATGTTTGTATGTACTTCTGAAAAGCCCTGATAAGGGATGGAGTATGATAAAGTATGTCGGTATGTATGTATGTGTGATGTAATCAACAAAACGCTTGCCCTTGGATAACTCTCTTAAATTATTTAACTTAGTTCAATAAGATTGATTTATACTTAACACTAAAACCTCATTTTTAGGAGGAGCCACAAACACCTGATACAGGTACAACTGGAACAGATGGCCAAGGTGATGGTACAGAGACACAAACTGAAACAGATTCAGGACGAGCGACCAGTGGGTCAGGCAAGAAGGAACAGACATCACCACCAGAGACTGTCTTTAAAAAGCTTGCACCCAG